TTAATTACAGCAGTGCATAGAGCAGTGGCTGATCCTGAAGCTAGAAAGGGACTAATTGAGTCTTTGGATTTCAGAATGCTAAAAAAGAATGTCAAAGGCCATAAGGCCTTGAAGATCAGGGTGCTCCTTTACAGGAATGGATTAAAGTTACTGCTGATAATGGATGCACAGACTCTAATTCTCATATAATTGGTCAAGCCTTTAAGTTAAATGTCTTAGATCCTAGAATACAAGATGCTCTATCTGTGGAAAATTGGGACATTTAAGGAAGATTATTTTTATTTTATTATGAAAAAGGACACCTCCTAGGATAGTCACAGTAGAAAGCCTCTAACCCCAGGAATTTGTAGATGTGGCAAAAACAAAACAAACAAACAAACAAACAAAAAAACCCCAAAGAAATAAGCTAATGAATGTCAGGTAAAGAAAGATATACATGGTACTTCTTCACAATTGGAAAACTTGTAGGGCTTAGCTCAGAGCCCAGGAACAAACAACACTGTTACCAATTTCCTGTCATCAGTGGAATGACTCATCAACAGAGCTATCAGGGAAACATGGGCTCAGCATTGGATATGCAATTCATGACACTTTAGGGAGCACTGCTTAAGAACTGGCAGTAGATAAACATCTTGCACTATCTCCATAAGTTCCTTGTTTATAAGATGGTCATTATTCCCCAGGAACAGTAGGAATAAGATTGGGAAGAAGCAACTTAATATCTTAAGGATTTCTTGTACACCCAGGAATTGTAGATGAAGATTACTAGATAGAAATGAAAATTATGTGTTTTGTGAAATATACAGTGCAAAAAGAAGCTGATGATCAATATATCAATTATTATTACTCCAATATTTAAAAGGCAAAACAGATCTAGCAAGTAGAACAGAAAGTTTTGGAAGGGCTGGGAAAAAAAAGACATTTTGGCAAATGGTCATAAGGCCTAAATTAAGAATACAATTAAGTGGGTCAGAAATTGAAGGATTATTTGATTTTGATGCTGCTGTAACTAAATTTTCTCAAAAATCCAAAATCCAACTGGATTTTGCAAGAAGTCTCTTCTTAGTTCATAAGTCTTCCTTGGAACCTAATCATAGGTAAAACAGATTGTAGAGTAGTTTAAATGTATAGGGCTTAAAGAAGATGAAGGGATGTTGAAGTCTTATGTAGCTGAAATAGCAATGAATTTATGAGGGAGAGAAGTGTTATCAACAATGGTGAGCTAAAATTAATATTCCTACAATTTCAAAAGGAACTCATAAAATGAAGCTAAAAATGGGGCATGTTCCTGCAAATGATATTGCAAAAATTGTCAAGGAAAATAACAGACTATACAGGTGGTTCAGCAGCAGGACAAAATAAGAATTTACTATCCAAATTTGGAATAAGGGCCCCAGTCAATAACCCAACTGCTCTGCCTTTAAAATAGTTGACTATTAAGCCTGTATGGGTGACTCGGTGACCCTTAACTAAAAAGAATTATATTTACTTGAGTAGCTGGTACAAGAATTTTTAGATATTAGTCACATTGAGAAAACTACTAGTCCATGCAATTCTCCTGTATTTATAATAAAACAAATCTGGAAAATGGAGAATATTGACTGATTTAAGAGCTATTAATAAGATATTTCATCCTATGTCATCTTTACAGCTGGGGATTGCTTTTACATTGTTACTTATAACAATGGCAGGGCCAGTAAAGAGATTATCACTAGAACATTCTTCCACAGGTAATGATAAACAACCAAAGCAGGAAATATCAGTAAAACAACTCAATGTCCATATGATTCAGTTAAAAAATCAGAGTTGTTTGCCATCCTGATGTTTTTATTAGACTTTATTTAATATCTTAAATATAATTACTCATCCAGAGTTTTCTGGGCCATTAGCAAATGAAAATGAAGGATTTGTCAATTGTTGATAGGAAATGTGTTTGAATTAAGAGAATTTCATGAGAATAATCATGTTAATATTGGGGGCTTAAAGAAAAAAATTCTATTACTTGTCATAAAGCTAAAAAATTTAAAAAAAAAATCTGTCCTGCTTATTCTTTGTAAAGTCAAGTTCCTTTGCCTGCAGGAACTAATCCTAAAGGTACACAAAAGAATGAAATTTGGCAAAAGGATGTATTTCATTTAGCATAATTTGGAAAATTAAAACACTTTCATCATACTATTGATAAACATATTCCGCATTTTCATGAACATCAGCCTTAAGCTCTGAAAAGGCTGATTCTATAATTATACACTTATTAGAAACAATGTTTCTAATAATTAAAACTGATAATGACCTAGGTTATGTCTCCAGTAAAATCAAGTATTTTTTGCTTGTTACAAAATAAAATATGTTACATGGATACCATATAATCTTATATAACAAGTTTTTGTTGAAAGTTCTAATCACACTCTAAAGGCGATGCTTGTTAAACAGAATGGGTCTGTGAGGATCCCCAAGTTTAGACTGCCTATTGTTCTACTAACTATACATTTTAAAGGCTAATGAAAGAGAACAACAGCTGTATAGATAAGACTGCTGAAATAAATCAGCCAATGTGCTACAATATGACTTGACATCAGTATGCAAAAAGGGGGAAGGTATTATCATAGATATGTGGTTATACTTGTGTTTCTACCGGAGAGAAGAAGCTGTGGACACCATCAAAATTCATAAAGCTTACATATGACAGGGATCTCTCAGATGCTGATAACTTTAGCTACTGAGATGCCTCAGGGGCGGGGAATGATACCAAAAGCCTTTGAAGCAGACAGTGAATCCTCACAACTGAAAGCAGCTTAAGAACTTGTGTGACAAAGGAGAGGAGATAATACATATGACTCAGAAACATTTGAATGCTACAAATTTGATCCTTGCTATGCTATCCTTGACTACATTGCTGGTAAAAGGGACCGATCACAATTATGGGGCATATGTTCCCAAACCATATTCCTGTGATGATTAATGAATCTTCTTAGCTACGTGGTCCTCATGACCACCGAGGTCCTTCTCAGCCAGAGAAGGATGGGGAATGGATTATGAATTACATTGTGAGAGCACAGGAAATTCCTATAAGTATGGGAAATTAAATTTAATGCCCAAGTCTAATCTTTCAAGTGTGTCTATCTATAGTTAAATCTATCTAAAATAATCATAATATGGTTTATAAGCTTCAGGCATCTAGTTTTGAAGGACATGAGATGAATGCTACTAGTTTCATAGACCTACCATTCGGTGAGATGAGGGTTACTAACAAGGAATCTGATTGAAGGTATTGGCAACAATGTAAGAATGAGAAACCTTGAGTGATGATCAATATCTCCCACAGAGGCATCAATGATTGGCGCCCTTATAGTTCTCAAGTAAAATGTTCTCACTCAAAGTTAAGATGGCAACAGCTTAGTTTGAATGGAAATGTAGAAAACAGTCCTTTTGTTAATGCACATATACAATGAAATTAGTTGGAATGTCAAGTCTTCTCCTGTGATTTGTCAATTCAATTCAGAAATCAGCAAGTGCCTCCAATCTTCTGAAAGCATGAGAAGAAAAGTTAAGCATTAAGGATAATAAGTATACTTTTGTCTTTTAGACTAAATCAAAACCATCCTTCTATGGAATGTGTATCATTACTTTAATTACCATTGAAGCAGCCTGTATAATGGCACCCTAGTAATAGCAGCATCACTTGAGAATGCTGTACCCTTAATGCCTATATTAATTCTAGTTTATCTTCAAACATAACCTTTGAAAGTTTACACGTGCTTAGAGTAAGGCCAGCTAACTGAATACCGGGTAAGTTGTTGAAGTCATTGTGGGATTCACCTGTGATGATCCTGACACAGAAGCTCGGCGATGAAATATTAAGAAGAACACGTCAAATGGTTGGACTTGTTGTTGTTGTTATTTTGGGAATTATTACAATTACTGCTGGTGCTGCAACAGCCAGAGAGTTCTTTCATAAAGCAATTCAAACTGTTGAGTTAGTTAGAAACTGACAAAAACAACCAGCAGTGTTTTGGACTGAACAAAATAAGATAGATAGTGAGGTAGTTAAAGAATTAGCTGATTTGTGAGAAACTGTTATATTGTTAGGGGATCCATTGGAAATATTGAAAGAGCAGAAAAATGGAAATGTGATTGGTATGTTGCATATTATTATTTTACACCTCTTGTTTAATGAAAACAAGCATTTTGGGAAAAGGTTAAGATGTATTTGTTGGGTTACCCAAATTTTTTCAGATGGTTTATGATTTACAGCAAGAAATTAAGAAAAGGTTTACAAAAAAATTACCTGATATGACAGGAATGAATGTTATGGAAAGCTTGCAGACACCATAGCCTCATTCAGCCACATGGATAACTTTAATAGATTTCTTGTTTTAGCAAGTATCACTCTTCTGTTTGCAATAGTAACCTTATTGGCTTTAACGTGTCTTTTGACTTACACAAGATTGTAATACAGAAAGAAAAGAGGCCATATTTTGCTGTAATGCTGCATAATTTAAAGTACAAACAGAAGGGGAATCTGTAAGGAGAATCCATACATAGATACAACTGGCTTGCCTCTGGAGGATTGTTTTCACCTAGCCTTCTTTTATTTGCCTTTTGTGATTGCTACCCTGTCTCTGGGACCTTCTGTTTGTAGTTTTATCTGAGAGTTTCCTGGGGGTTCAAAGACTAAGCAAAAGTTGGCATTGGAAAAGCTCCTGCACACTGGTTGGTATGCTGAATAGAGAATTTTCATTTGGCATTATCCCTTTGAGATACTCAGATACAGTGTTTGTGGTGTGAAAATGAACTTGCTAAAAGTGTTAGGTTACATAACAATAAAAATGCCATAATCTAAGGGAGAGCATCCCAGTCTGAGAGATGTTGAGCCCCCTGTAGATGGAAAGGCGAAAATCATCCTTAAAGTGGCTCTGCCTCCATTCCATGGACCTGCGCGAACCCACACTGACTCTATGACAATTTACATACTTAAAACATGGTTCAATAATTTTTATTACTGTAACAGACAAAACTGAATCTGGATACAATGGAGTAATGATTCACAAGAACAAATGGCCCAAAAGATGAAAAACACAGAGAAGTAAATGAAGTGATGTTCATCAGCCACCAGTTGTGATGATATGAAAGAGTAATGATGCCTTGTAAGATGGAAGATAATGTATAAAAAATAAGAAAGGTAGACACCAGTGCCAGGATATTCTTTGTGGCTCTGGACTCAGGGGAGTTTCTGCTTGAACCATGTGTTCTACGGATGTGCTGAACCCTCTGCTTGTGTCTATACAAGATGACAACCATGAAGCCACTGGACCAGATGATGAACAAAGAAAAAAGGACTTCTGGGAACACCACCAAAGCTATAAACAGCAAATGACTGATTTCATTGTATAGTACAATAAGACAGTATCCAAAATCTTGTGTTCTTGTCATGTTTTTGTCATTCCTTTCAATAAATGGGTAGATAAAGAAAATGAAGTGCATCAATATGTAGAAAAGCCAGAGTAGGGAAATGATGCAGCCAATAGACCTGGAAACTTTGACTTTATGATCCTTCCAACAGGATTCCCTGGGACTGATCATCATGGACTGGAAGACACTCAAGAGGCAGGAGGTTCCAATGGACAAACTCCGGCCAACTCTTTCAATGTAAAAAATTAATCTACATCCAAAATAATTCAATAACTGCCTCAACACAAAAGGAGTTATTGTGTGGGGCAATCCTGATGAGAGAATGATCATGATATTGGCTGTTGTTAGATTGAAAAGAATTATATCTGCGGGCTTTAACATACGTTCTTTATAGTAAAAGACTACATAGTAGAACAAAAGGGAGAAATTTCCGAGAATTCCAATTGTTGTTTGTGATAAGAAAATTAGTCCAATTATGAGGTTCCAGATGTTTGTCATGTGATTCGGCGCCATTTCTTTCAGACTATAGACAAGCTGTTTGTCTTGGCAGAAGGAATAAAAAAATACTTGCAGTTTTTTGAGGAAGAAGAAATCTTTTAATACTAAGAGGCTTAAATAGAGGATCCATTAACTTCAGGAGTTGATGGCCAGCCTAGACCACATAAAATGACCTCATTCAAAAAATTCTTATAGTAGTTACTTTCCATGTATGTATGGTTGTTAGGAATGCTTGACACCTTAGAATGCATGTATTGATGGAAGAACATTCATTAATTTTCACAGAAAATGGAGCATTTGAGTCAATATGGTGTTAGCCTGTTAGAAACAATGAAAAATGACAGCCCATACAAAGAAACACAAATCCAGAAAATACTGATATTGGATATATAATATTATATAAAAGAATACA